GTGAAGAAGCGAGTTGTCACGGACCCTGTCATGGCGTACTCTGCGACCAGCGAGATCACGAATATTGCATGGTCCCCGCAAATACCAGGAATGGCAATGCATACGGGGCATTCGACCGCTCCAGGAGAGTGGCTTGCGATTGCGAGTGGGAAGTCGATCAAAGCACTCAAGGTGTAGAGAAAGTGGGTCTTAGATAAATGCATGTCAGATAAGTTATCAGTGATATGTTTTTACCGAGTCCTGGCAGGACAGTGTCGGGTTGCCTGATCAAAAGCTCGTGATTCCAAGCAAAGCGGGTTCCGTTGACTGTGGGGCTTGTCCCAATGCTTGGATTTATATGGGCTCGGCGTCCTACTTGGGGTCAAGGTCACTCCATCCTCTGGTGCAAAAGTGTGATTGATAGCTTGAAGAGGCTCAAGATAATCTTCATCAGGAATTTGACCACGCGTATCCTCCATCAACTGTTGCAAGGTTTTGACAAATTGAGCTCCGCGGCAAAGCCTCCACCTGGGAGTTTGTTCCCTGCAACTCGGCCTCGGTTAACCCTTTGAAACCGCATGCCTCCTCGGCCGCATCTCATTTTGTAGATCAGAATTCAAAAGACTAGTGTTCCGCGAAATAATGTGAGTCCGCTCGGATTCCTGTTTTCGGTTCTCGCCATGGCTGACCGCCAGTCTTCAACGAACGTTCTTACTGATTCTAGTCACCAAGTGCTGACACATAGACAGAACTCTCCATCTGATTCGGTGGACGTGAAAGAGAAGAAGTCTCTTGAGGATGCTCGCGTTCATGAAGTCGACAGCGAGGCTGATGAACGGCACAGTTTGCTCCGGAAGAAAATCCGTGTTGCTGTACTAATAGGCTTGGCTGTTCTGATTTTGGCATGGTGGATATCAGCCACGGTGTTGCTGGAAACTCGGGGTAGATGGCAAGTGTAGTCAACTTTCTTATCGTCAAACTTGATGTTGACACCTATCTTTACTCAAGGCTCGTTCAAACTATATTCGCATGGTTCTTCCTCTTGTAAGTGACCTCGTTGATTGCTCGTTGATGCTGCATGCAAGCTGAATTCAATTTCATTACCAGGGTTATCGCTTTTCGATTCATCCCAAATTCCGTGGTCACCAGGCCCATTTCAGCGATCTGGATGCCATTTGTGGAAGAGCCATGGTACCGAATTCCTCGGACAATTAGGATGATGATCGGCTGGCTCTGTTTGCTGGCTGTTGTCTTTGGATCGGCGTTTGGTTTCGCGCTCACCGGTGTAAGTACTTCTGCACAATTGATTTGCATTTTTTCAAATGAATCATTTAGAATACTGATTACGCTCATCGTGCAATCTCGGTTCTTGGACTATTCGTTTTCCAAGCGAGCTTTTGGCTCACATCTACCAATCGGTCCGCTGTATGCTGGTTGGTGTTGTCTTTTGGCTGTCGTTTAGGTGTAGCTCATGTTTGTGAAGGCCCACAGTCATTGTCGGATTGGTATTCCAGCAAGTAGTGGCTCTCTTCGTCCTCAAGACTGGTGCCGGATACCATCTGTTCAAATATATCGCTGATCTGGCATATGACTTCTTGACCCAAGCATACGTTGGCGCCGAATTCTTCTTTGATGCGGACACAATTGGAAAACATTGGTTTTTCGTCAACACGGTTAGATACTTGGCCTACACTACGCTGATAAAAAAGAGTTTCTAAAGAACCCACTTTCATAGCTCGCGGTCATCATATTTTTCATCGCGTTCGTGCAGATGATGTATTATGTGGGACCTTTGATCTCCACACAGATGATGGCACTGATTTCTTCTATTCAGATTGGCGTCATGCAGTGGGTTATCAAGGGCTTGTGCGCATGCTAGGATCATTTCATTGTCACGTCGTTGCTGACAGTTCCATCAGCGCTTGGTTTTTCTTCAAAGCTATGAATATCTCTGGCGCGGAAGCTGTCGTTGCTTCCGCTTCCCCGTGGGTGGGTCAGGGTGAATCGGCATGTCTAGTCAAGCCTTACGTGGATCTCATGACACGATCTGAACTTCACCTAGTCATGACCTCTGGTGCGTTGGCACCGTCCATCAGATCAATAGAATGTATGCTTACTTTCTATTCAGGGTTTTCTACGATATCTGGAGCAGTACTAAGTGCATATGTTGCCATGGGTGTACCGCCTCAGAATTTGGTGACGTCTTCGGTCATGAGTATCCCTGCATCTATAGCTATCAGTAAAATGCGTATGCCGGAGGTCGATGAACCTGTTACACGAGGTCAGGTGATAATCGATCGCGGAAAGGAAGATGAAAAGCGTCAGCCGGTCAACGTCTTGCATGCTTTCGCTCAGGGAGGCGTATTTGGCTTGAATGTCGCAGGCCAGATCCTGTAAGGCTTAGCCCATATAACTGTGTCTAGTTCTTATTCTGCATTTTCAGCACGAATGTCCTTATCATCCTTTCGCTAGTTGCTACCATCAACGGCGTTTTGACGTGGGTTGGGCGTGGTTTTGGAATCCGTGCGCTTACTCTTCAATTGGTTCTCGGATACATTGGATATCCAATCGCTTTCCTGCTAGGTGGGATGGGCTTTTTTGTTTTTTGTTTTTTTTACCTCAATTACTGAATCGCCATATAGGTGTCCCCTATCCTGAAATCTTCAAAGTTTCACAACTGCTCGCTACGAAACTCATCGAAAACGAATTTTCTGCGTACCTACGTGCGTAGCTTGCGATCCGTATTGACGGAGGTCATTAAATCCCAATTACTCTTAATGCAGAACTTAAAGCTATCCAAGCTAGCTCAGAGCCACTCTCAGAGCGCGCTTTCACCATCGCATCATATTCCCTGTGTGGATTTGCCAATCTAAGTTCACTGGGGATTCAGATCGGCGTTCTCAGCGCTCTCGCGCCCAATCAAGCCAAAACCATCGCAAAGATCGCAACCTCGGCAATGATATGCGGCTTTATCTCGTATGTTGACTTTAGATATCATGTTGGCCGGAAACTAATCACCACTTATTTCGTCAGAACCCTTCAAACTGCAGGAATTGCGTGAGTATTTCATGTAAGGTTGATTTTCTGCCTTTTGTTGACGCGTTGACATTATAGAGGAATGCTTGTATGAATGAATGTATGATTATCTAGCACGATTTGTGCAACCACTTGCATTATACGAAATCAGATGACCGCAAGCGTTTTCAATCTATATCTGTGTACAATACACTTGGGATATCCGATGCTCAGAGCCATACAAGCTGTCCAAGATACATGATCCATATGTCGCATATCTAACGAGGTTCCACTAATTCACCATTTCACCTCTGGTTATAACGATGCCTTGCCCTCTCAATCTAACAGTTTTGTGCTCCTGATCCCATGTGACTTTAAGCTCACCCCCTCTTGGACTAACTTGTTTCGCAGATAGTTCTTTGCCAACTTCATCGAGTTTCTTCGACCAGTAAGGCACGAGCAGTGTATGTGCGCTTCCACATACTTGATCCTCATCCACCCCTTCCAATGGGGCGAAGGTTCGGGAGATGAATACGTGATCCTTTCCGGGCGTTTGCTGGGTCATGATGATTGTCTTGAAAGGTGCCGCTTCGGTCTGTTGCCAATTTGAATCAGGGGATAGAATGAGATGGTTGATACTGAACTAACCAATGCAGACGCATCGATCTCTATCCCATCGATGTTTTCCTTGTCGTTTAAGACGACGATAACATAAGTCGCCAATGGTTCGCCACCGCTCGCGACATAATCGAGACCCAAGTCCTCCGGTTGTTTACCCAGAGCTGCTGCAACTGCATTCCTCACCCTTTCCTTATGTTCGAGTGACACTTCTTTCACCGAGTTCTGTGGCAACTCTATCTCGTACCAAGCGCCGTCCTTCTCATCTTGTGATCTCGGCGTCATGCGCGCAGTGACAATGGTTCCAAGCTTGGTGCGGAATCTTAAACTACCCTCCGCTGAATCCCAATTTACCCCAGGAAGACTCCCGGTATAAATCGCCTTCGTTGCTGCGAATAGTCCGTGCCCGCAAAGGACGACCTCACACGAGGGAGTAAAGTAGCGCACATTGAAGATCTTGTCATCTGCACCCGGTAAAGGAGGTTGAACGAACGTCGTAATGGGTAGGTTGAAATTCTTGGCAATCTGTTCAAAGACAGTGGGATCAAGCTCGCCATGCGGTGAGATCGACACGACCGCTGCGGGATTTCCCCCAAACAACTCCCGCGAAAACGCGTTCACTGTCACGAAGGATGCGCCTTGGAGAGACATTGGGATGAACAACGATGGGGTGACCCAAGCTGTAATCTGATCGCCATATGACTCATGTACATCAATGTTCGGGTTGAATTGGAAGGAATCATGTGTGACTCGACAAAGTGGTGCCGGTGAGCATCTGATGAGACACTAATAACTGGTTTTCGTACTTACTAGTATTGACACTTAGTACATATTATATCCCACATTTAACATACTCTGCTCATCGTCATCTTTGGATTTGTACTTTCATCTGATAAGTAGTCCAGTTGATCAAGATTGAATATATACTGCAGTAGAAAGATGCTAACATACCCAGGTGTCATTGTTGAGGATATCCGTCAGAGTTCGTCTGAAACAGAAAAACGGATGCATATAATTAAAATCGCGATCATAGTTATGACTTTGTAAAAATGCGAGGTCGAGGGAAAGTGGATGGAGCGTTTGGTGTTTCGTGCTTCTAGTTGGCTCCTAGTATTAGATTCTTCGGTCAAAAAGCAATAAATATTGAGACCCGTAGGTCTACCACTCCGGGAAAGCGTGTCATCCTTGTGCAGGGGCCATGCTAATCTTCTCTGTATCGTTCCAATTTTTACGTATGTCACCCCGAAGGGGACAATATCCCATGGTGAGGTCGGCGGCACGCCAGAAAAAGTTCGTATTTTGCCTGGCAAACGGGTGGCAATCAGTAGTCAGGTTAGTCAACAAGTGGATTGGACCCCAAATAAAGGCGATAAGATTACGGCATTCATAGCAGCATGGCGCAGTGGGAGCGCGCGGGGCTCATAACCCCGAGGTCACTTGATCGAAACAAGTTGCTGCTACTTACAGTGGAGATAGGACACGAGTTTCCTCATTTTTTTAAAAAAAATATTACGATCGTTTCAACGTTCCAACCTGTTTCAACTTTCACACAGGAGTTGAGTAGAAATCATGTGACTTTGCTCTCTATTTTGACTTCTGCAGTCGAATCCGAGAACATACATATGGCACCACAATTGCAAAACGCACGATAGATGTCTTCATTCTCCAAAGCCAAACTTAAAGCCGCCCGAGACGCTCTCGGAAAGAAACAGTATGAAGTAGCTCGCGATGCCGCTACTCAAGTCCTTGATTATGAACCTGACAATTACAATGCGTATGTTTGCGTGGTTTCATCATAAAGAACATCCGAGTTAATAGATATATTCCGATAGACATGTCTTCCTTGGTCTTGCATACCTTGAACTTGGAGAGAATGAAAAGAGCGAGCAAGTAAACCACAGTTACGCAGGACAGCTTCATCAATCTGATCATCGAACAATAGTTTTATCGCAAAGCTACTGATTTGAAGCCAGATCAAATTTTGGCATGGCAGGTAAATTCAATTGATTTTACTCCCTTCAGCAGGCTCAGCGATATCAATAGGGTATATCAAAACTGTACGAACAAAACAGTAGATGGGATGACCTGGCAAAGTCACTGAAGTGCATGATCTCTCTTTTTTCTGAAAGGTATGCTCGGATTATCTGATGAAGAACGATGGTTGAGAAAGTTTATAGCAACGACCCAACTAAATGCGCCGATGCGTTGCAGAAACTGACTGATATCTATCGAGAGCATGGTACACGCCAACAGGCAAGTATGTATGCAAGGAGAGAACTACATGATCTAAACTCGTCTCTCCAAGGTCATTGACGCTCTTCAATTTACCCTTCCGCATTCGCCGTACTATCCAGTGCTCTCAACTTTGCCTTTGCCGGATCCTACAAATCCAACTGCAACATCCACCTTTGCTATTCAAACCGCAATACACAATTCCCTTCCCGTGATTGAGGAGATCATACTTCTAACGGAAAAACAGGAGGAAACAACGACCAAAAATGAGTTTGAGAAACGAAGAACACGCCTCGGAGCACCGAATGCAGACCAGTTACGAAAGGATATAGGTAGAGAAGTGTGGGGATCTTCTGAGGTTGGTCTAAGTCATTGCTTATCCCAAAGTCCTGCTCATCGATCAGTTCCAAGCTACCAAAACTATACGATGAGGTGTTGAATCATCCGAATACTTCAGACGACCTTCGCCGTGTGACCGAATCAAAACTCGTTCGCATTAAACAGCAATATTATTTTGCCCTCCCAATCACAGACCCAGATAAAGTCAAGATAGGATCTGAACTCGATGACCTAGTTAGTGGCATGGTCACCATCAACATCCCCGACGAATTGGCATGGTCGATTTTCCTGGAAGGAAAGGATGTCGACAGTATAGGTAAGTTGCTCCAATGATCAGTAGCTCTCCGGGATAATTACCCCTGAATAGAAGGATATGATTTCAATGTCCTTCAACAATACATGGATATCTTCCCTGATACACCATTTTCAAAATTATTGAGTGGATATTTCCTATACAATGGGGTCCAGATCTCGGATCATGAAAGCAGCGATGGTGATGACAAAAAACCCGATGAAAATGACTATGCTGTCGATCCCTATGATAAAATCCTTGTGAGTTACCTTCCTGGTATAAAGCTACATCACCACTGAATGATTCATAGGACGCATTCGCATTTCTTTCAGATTCCATCATCTCTAACCGCATAGCGGCGGAAGTTTATATGCACGAACTTGATTATCAAATTTCTATCAAGTTAGCTGAAAGTGGACTGGAACTCCTGAGAAGATATGAGTCAAATAGCGGCCGAAAACTCGAGCAGTAAATGATCGCTCCCCTCATTTGAATGCAGCATTGATTTTTGTTTTCTATATTCAGAGTAATGAAAGCCTTCAACACGATATTGGCCACCTCTTTAGTGCACCTGTTCCCTCCGAAGCATCATACCCGCGCCCTTCGACTTTTAGATGACGTGCTTTCTCGAGACCCGGACAATGTCGACTGTCTGATTGGCCGAGGTTATGTCCTCCAGACCGCCGACAAATGGGAAGAAGCCGAGGGCCTCTTCGGAAAAGCAGATGATCTGCTTCCGGCGGACCTGCAAAAGGGACTTCGCGCAAAAGAAGAGCGTGCCTGGTGCCAAAGTCGAACTCGATTAGAGGATGGATTAACCTCGCTGAAAGATGTGTTTAGGATATGGGACGATCTTGGAGACCGCGACGCAGATAAAGCTCGATGTCTATGGAGGATTGGCAAGTGTTGCTGGGATGTAGGAGGTCAGATTTCGCCACCATATATGTATGTCCTCCCTCTTTATAACTTGCTAGCAGGTGACACTCGAGAAGATGCTTTTGCATCTTTCATCAAATCCCTAAAATGCGATTCGACTTACGCGCCGTCTTACACATCACTGGGGATATACTATGCGGAGCACTCCACTCCTCTTGATCCCACTCGTGCATCGAAATGTTTCCAGAAAGCTTTTGAGCTAGATCCACGCGAGGCAGATGCAGCCCGTAGACTCGCAGAAGGATTTGCTGAAGAGCGAGAATGGGATCTAGTCGAAGTGGTTGCCCGTCGGACTATTGAAGGGGAAGGTGGTCTAGATGCTGGTATGCGGGATGGAACCAGCGCTGCAGCCAAAAGATATCTTCCCACTAATGCATGGGCATGGAAGGCAGTTGGCGTCGTTGAACTGGTGAGATTACGCCTCATTTTCATTCTCGCCGTTGACAGTGTACACCAGATTCGAAGGAATTGTGCACCATCTATTGAAGCATTTCAAGTGGCCCTTAGGGCAGATCCCAATGATCAACTCTCCTGGCTCCGCCTTGGCGAAGCATATAGCAAAGCAGGTCGACATGCTGCAGCATTGAAGGCTCTTGGTCGCGCACACGAGTTACAGCCAGACGATTGGATTTGCAGCTTTTTCATCGCTGAGGTGCAAAGGCAGATGGGCAAACTTGCCGAAGCGCTACTTTCTTTCCAATCCATCCTCGAGACGCGTCCCAACGAAATTGGCATCTTGATCTCTATATCGCAGACTTTCCTCGATCTCGCACGTCACGAGCGTTTTACTGGATTTAGTGCCAGAGCTGAACAATCCTTCGTATCTTGTGTTAAGACGAGTCTACAGGCCATATCGGAGAGTCCCGGATATCGCGGTGTCGCTTGGAAGGTTGCAGGGAATGCTTTGTTTGGGCTGTCCGGCTCTTCGACTTTTGCTGACGAAGCTGACGTTCGTACCGTCCTGGATGAAGTTTCCGCACTTATTCGTCAGCATCACAGTACTCGTTTGAAGGACGTATTCAAGGTGATCCCCATGGAAAGCGATGTTACCCTGACAGGACTGCACGCGCTCCAAGTTGCATTGGCCGCGTACGATTACCGCATCACTGTTGGATCGACAGAGGACACAGCAGCCAGCAGCGCATGGTTCGACCTTGGAACGGCTTTGCACTACTGGACCATGAAGGCATCACCTTCCGAGTCACATCAAGCAGCATCAGAGGCCGCAGCGTCCTTTGTAATCGAAGCTCTCAAAAAAGACCCTGGTAATGCCACTTTCTGGGTTACTCTGGGCAACATCTATTTCATCGCCAAACCAAAGGCATCCCAGCATGCTTATATCAAAGCTTTGGACGCGGATTCTAAGGTGAGCTATACCACTCAAATTGCTCCTATACCTTCTCAACAGAATGTGCTTCAGAACGTGACTGCTTGGACCAATTTGGGTCTCCTGTATTTCTACCATAACGACTTGGAACTGGCCAATGAAGCCTTTTACAAAGCCCAGGTACTTGACCCAGATCATACTATCGCTTGGGTTGGCCAGGCGCTTGTCGCAACAGCAAATGGAGACAACCTGGATGCATGCACTCTCCTCGAACACGCGGTTAGCCTTGCCGCTGATGTTGTGAGTTCATTGATTAAACCTATGGCAAAGCTGAATTTATTTGCCTCCCAAGCCTATCGCGGACCTTGAGTTCGCCTCACGCGTATTCTCGTCTCTCAACCAAGCGACGTCTGGGCGGAGGTCAACGGACGATATTCTCTTCCCAGCCTTCTTTGTGCTTGATCGCTATGCTAAACGATGTCCTTCCGATGCATGTGCTCTCCATCTTTTTGGCCTGGTATGCGAGCGATTAGGGAAGCTTGAGCTAGGTGTGGAACACATTACCCGAGCCATCAGTCATCTAGAGGCGCTCTACGAAGAGACCGAGGATACGACTGTGGAACGACAGTTTACCATCGCACACGCCAACCTCGCACGCCTGCGAATCGCCACGCAAGATTACGCAGGCGCCCTCGAATCATTCGAAAGTGTTCTTGGACTACTTACAGAGTCCAGCGAAGACCAAACAGCTCAGATACTGCGCGTTGAGGCGCAATTCGGTTGTGGATTAGCCAATTTCAAGATGGGAGACTTGCAATCAGCGCTGACAGTCTTCCAAAATGCTCTGGACGCTGCTGGGGACAATCTAGTACTTCGAGGTCATGTGACGGTACTGCTTGGTCAAACGATGTGGGCAATCGGTACAGAAGAGTTCCGAGAGTCGGCCAAGGCACTTCTACTTGAATGGTACAAATTCACCAGCAATCTTTGAAATGTAAAGCTAACATTCGCTATTCAGTATCACTGCAGATCCAGAGAATCTGCTAGCTATCAATACGCTCGCTGGGATGGGCATTCTGACAGAGGATGACGGCCTGATCGATGCTGCACTCTCCGAAATCCAATCACTCCCGATCGAGCGCCGTCAAGAACTGGATCCTCGCAGAGACGTGACTTACCTACTTATTCAACATCAACTCGGTCAGGTATGTAACGATTATCGCAATGCCTCTCGGATGCTCAGATGTTGGTGCAGGGAGATACAATGGGGGCGCTACATACCGCCCAAAAAGCCCTTTACGTTGAGCCTTCCAGCTCTGAAATTAGGCGTGATG